ACGCGATCCGAACCGTCTGCCGTGCGAAATGCTCCCTGACCCTTTTTTTTCCCACGCAAATCAGAGCGGTTTCCATATAGATTTCAATGCTGATCAGCGCGGTTTTGGCCGTTGAACTCTGAAAACACAATAAAAAATGCCCGAAACCGCCCTTTTAAAATTTGCGCTGATCTGCAACCGCCCCGGTGTGAACGGGGCCTAAGTGCCTGGAGTAGGTGAGTTAATCCCAACGTCAACCTGGTGGTGGGAGTGAATGGAGAAAGGTAATTGCCGACTACTTCTGATCCCTTTAAAAATGAACCTTTGATGTTGCCCAATATGTAGGAGTCTATTTATTTAATGTGGTTGATGTGTTTCCTGTTGCAGGCAGGCGGAGCCTATATCTCGATGGCTGTCCTGGAAGATGACTGGGGAAATAGAGATTAAAGGGCGAGCGGCACCTTTGCTCCCGGGTGTGTCTACATCTGAAAGCAGCTGAAAGTGTTGACTGTTCCAGTTCTACGGCTCCTCAAACATAATCCTAATTTTCAGGTAGCGTGGAGTTCCCTCTTCGTAAAACGTGCCGGGGCTGATAAAGCTCCCCTTTCGCTTTCCAATTGTGTCTTTATTACAAGTTAATGTTTAAGTCGCTGCGTACTTAATAATGTGGAGAGGCAGGTCAAAGGTCAGCAATGTTATATATAGAAAATAAAAGAAAGCTTTCATGAGTGGACTGCGAAAGGCTGGCGGTGCGCTCGCTTCTGAGAACGCTGGCTGCGCCGGCTATCAAGCCATCTCTTCCTTGTGGAGGTTTGAACTTAGAACAAGGAAGCTCAGATCAGGAGTCGGTGAAAGACCTGTTCCGGGTCAATGACTCCAAGTGTTGAAGGCAAAGGATCAGTAAGAGAACCAAGGAGCTAGCACTTTCTGAAGAACGTCTTGAAAGAAAGATTTAACTTTGCTCCTTCTCTCCGGCTTAGTGATCAAACCTTCATGAAATGGTCACCTGACCATCACATATATATAAGCTCATTAGACATCCCATTCCAAAGCGATGGCGATTGATAGAGTTGGCCTTCTTGTTGCAGCTATAACTTTTCTGGGTAGGCTTTCCAAAAGGTTTTGGAGGGTGTCTTTGGGAATTTGTGCCCAGTTATGAGGTCAGGTACTGATGTTGGGTGAGAAGACCGGACTCACAATCTGCATTCCGATTCCTCTTGAAGGTGTCCAGTAGGGTTGAGATCAGGGCTCTCTGTAGGCCACTTGAGTACCTCCACGCCACACTCATCAAGCCATGTTTTGGGGAAATTGCCTTCCTCAAACTGTCGCCACAAAGTATCAATGCTCTAAGGGCCCATTCACACCACATCATCTCCAGACCAGACCAGGCCAGACCGTTTCCAGACCCAAAATGCATCCTAATGTATCCCTATGCTATTTCTGGCCTCTGTTCACACCAGCGCAGTCTGTTCTAGACCAGACCAGAAAAATATTGCATGTCTTATTTTGTCTGGTCTGCAACGCACTGAAACTGCGGGCAGGTTCACACCATTTTCTAGATCAGATCTAGTCCGGAAAATGGCATGTTCACACCGAAAGCGGGTGCGTCCCAGAGCGGTGGCTGCTGGAACGCACCGTGATCGCTAAGAAACTTCCCCCCAACGCTCTGGGGCAGGAGGGGGCGTGGCAGTGCATTGAATTCAATGGCACCGCTTCCACGCCCCCCTTTCCGCACGCAGTGCGATCGGACGCGTGGCAAAACTTTGCTTACGTTCCACTGCAAGCGCAAAAATAGGGCAGAACGGAAAGCCACGCCCCCTCCCGCCCCTTGAATGCGAGGGAAGTTTCCTTAGCAGAGCGTTCCAGAAGCTACCGCTCTGGAACGCACCCGTTTTCTGTGTGAACAAGTCCTCAATGTCTTTGCATTAACAGAACCCTTCACTTGCAACACCTGAACTCAATACTTTGGACGGGTCTCCACATCCGTTTGGCCAGGAACGATGGTCAGGTGCCCAGAAACGTTTGCCCATATAGTGTAGAGCAGGGATGTCCAAACTGCGGCCCTCCAGCTGTGGTGGAACTACAAATCCCATGAGGCTTTGCAAGATTCTCACGGAGAGAGATACTTCATGGGATTTGTAGTTTCACAGCTGGAGGGCCGCAGTTTGGACATCCCTGGTGTTGAGAATTCTAACAAGATTGAAGAAAATAGGTCACCAGCACTCCATAAGTTAAAATGAATGAGTCCTTTTAATGGACAATGATGTCACAGAAATCCAACATGAGCCGACGTTTCGGGGCCACACAGGGTCCCTTCTTCAAGGCAAGGATCGTCACATCTCTTGCCTTGAAGAAGGGACCCTGTGTGGCCCCGAAACGTCGGCTCATGTTGGATTTCTGTGACATCATTGTCCATTAAAAGGACTCATTCATTTTAACTTATGGAGTGCTGGTGACCTATTTTCTTCAATCTTGTGTTTTGCACGGTGCCATCCGTGAAGTTACTTCGAGCACCATTTATTTGATTGTTGGCCGGGACTGCTGAAAGGTGTGCGGAGGGCACCTCCATCAATTGCATCTGAGAATTCTAACAAAACTTGTTATTTCTTTGCTTTCGATAAGAAAAGTTTCAATGAGACTCACCCAACCAGTTCCTGTATCAGATTAGGAACGATCTCGTTACCTCCGCTCTCGGATTGCTGGATAACAATGTCTCGGTGGTGCCCGGAGGAGAAGGGAGCAGAAGGGAGCAGTAGGGAGCCGCAGTGGCAAATGTCTACAGCTCAGTGACGGAGTGCAAAATGAAAAGAGAAACGGCAGCTTTCCCTGGGATGTGTTCCAGCTGCACCTGTGTAACCCGACTCCGCTCTGTGCAGGGAGGAGGGAGGCGGGGCCACAGGTGAGCTTCTCCCAGGTAACAAGCAGGGCAGCTCCACCATAACACAAGGTCAACCGGGCAATCCAAGTGACAGTAAGGAATTTGCTGGTGACAAGTTACTGGAACGGGGTCAGGAGGAGTTTAATTAGTACAAATACAGTAGAAGATACGCTGCAAATTTTTAACTTTGAAGGTTTTTTTTACTGGCTGTTTGGAAAGTGCCGGGAGGCAAAGATCAGCTAGCGGGCTACTGCAGCCGTCCCCAGTCGTCTCCTGCAGCCGTCCCCAGTCGTCTCCTGCAGCCGTCCCCAGTCGTCTCCTGCAGCCGCCCCCAGATTACATAAAGCCCGTTCACTCAGTCTGGAGCCTGTTCAGTCTTCTTGAGGCTTTAATGAGTACTTTGCAGATCAGCATACCTGGGACAAATAGCATTTTCAGCAATTCGGCCGGCAATGGCAGCGTACCTACCTCCTGTCAGCACAGGCGTCCCTACGGATCAGGTTGGAGGATAAATACCCGTCGGGGGGTTCGGCTTTAATGAAAATATCAACAGGAAGGGTGAGATATTGGAAGGGGGGGAGGGGGGCGGAGCCAGGGAACGGGGTGCAGAAATCACTCCAACCAATGACATATGTACTGAAGATGATGAATGAAATTCCAGTTTTGGGTGGAGCGACCTTCCAATCGCTGTACACATGCCGGACCCGGTCTGGAATCCTCCGTCGGACCCGCCTGCCAATTACCAGTTACATAACGCTGACTGATCGGCCTAGAATGTCGCCGACGTTATATCAACAAATGTATATGGAGGCGACGCGGAGCGCGCTCACCAAACCTGGAGGATGATTCCTGAGTATACACTCATCCCATCCAGGGAGAGCTCTGGAATCTCTACTATGTGCTATGAATGGCTCCCACCAGACCCACAGGGGCCCCGAGCCAGGATGGACATGCTGCGTTCCTGCCATGCGTGACGGGGGTCATGTCAGTCACATGTAGCCTAATGATGTTCTGTATACACGGCGTGTTCACTCCGCCAACAACCCCATGGGGGTCATAAAGAGATGGAATGCTCCGTGCATAGAATGCAGTGTACACAGGTCAGTGATCGGTATGTAGATCTGTATACAGAGCACAGTATACACAGGTCAGTGATCGGTATGTAGATCTGTATACAGAGCACAGTATACACAGGGCAGTGATCGATATATAGATCTGTATACAGAGTATACACAGGTCAGTGATCGGTATGTAGATCTGTATACAGAGCACAGTATACACAGGGCAGTGATCGGTATGTAGATCTGTATACAGAGCACAGTATACACAGGTCAGTGATCGGTATATAGATCTTAATACAGAGTGCAGTATACACAGCAGACAGTTTGTCACATCAGGTTATGGACCTGTAAACCTAGAAGACTGCACATTCCTAATTATATGGGATCTGCACACATACAGTGTACACGGTGCAGTCATTGTAGGCAATGAGAGTGGAGATCAGACCAGCGCAGTCACATGACATACAGAGACCCACATACTGTCACACTGAACACACATGACACTGTACACACATTACACGTATGTATCACAGGCAGCCCTGGTGCATGACACCGTGTACAATCAGCATACATACATCACACTATGTACAGTCAGTGTATACAGTCGGGGGGCACACACAGTGTATACAGTCGGGGGGCACACACAGTGTATAGTCGGTGCAGTCAGTTTATACAGTCGGGGCACACACAGTGTATACAGTCAGTGTATACAGTCGGGGCACACACAGTGTATAGTCAGTGCAGTCATACAGTCGGGGCACACACAGTGCATACAGTCGGGGCACACACAGTGCATACAGTCGGGGCACACACAGTGCATACAGTCGGGGCACACACAGTGTATACAGTCGGATCAGTGTAGACGTGTCTCTGTTACATCTCCTCCCCTCTACCTCGTGCTGCACTTCCTGATCACCGATCTGCCTATACAAGATCAGATCCCCGGACATCGATCGCACACACATATACACCGAATATCATATACAATGTATCACACAGGGAAGTCATTGTAACAATCTCCCCTCCCTGACATATGGGGTGAGCGGGGTCACTGGACGTTACAATCGTGTCTCCCATCCTACCTGAGTGTTGTGTCGGTGTGTGGCCTCCTCTTCGGATCGGGCGATGTGTCCTCTGTTCCCGGATCGGGCGATGTGTCCTCTGTTCCCGGATCGCGATGTCAGAGCTCCGCACTCCGAGCTGCCAGCAGACGATGTGATCGAAAAACTTTCCGCCGCTCACCTCCCATCCAACAAAGAGCCGCGGAGTGCGCCCTCTGCTGACACCTGGTGGCCGTGTCCCGGAATGACACCCTGCTGCCACCGTACTGCCTACCCCCATTATACTGTAGTAGTGTATTATATTATGTAATGTTATATTATATCGTCACCCCTCCAATGGTGTCACCCGTGAGCGGACTGTACCCCC